CCCCAGATCCTGATGCACACCCTTTATGTACTTGTAGGCTGCCACCATGGCTTGTAGGCTTTACCATTTAGTAAAGCAATCAATAGACACTGAGGTGTATTTGACTTCGCAGACACTTAAAGTAAAGCATGGACATAAGTGCCTTGCTGGCTCAGGGCTTTCTATCTCAGTTAACTTAGCTGTGAAATAGATTTAATAACATGGAATTCCTCAGCTTTGTTAGATTTGCTGGTTCTGCAAATCCTGCTTAAATTTCTTTAAGTTCTTTGAGTTTCTCGTATAAGGTCATGAAGAGCATGCAATATCAAATGAGAGAGGTGTTCATTTATACCTGGAATCATGTCAGTGCCCTACTAGCAGCCAGACTTTCAGGTTTCCTTTCTCCCTTCTTTCCCTCCTTCCCTCCCTCCTATTGCTATAATTGTTGCATATCAAACCTTCCAGGCACAAATAGTATGGAGCAGTATGAACTGCCTCATTAACAGGGATCCTAGTTTTCTCTGATTAAAAACAGCAAATCCTCTGATTAAAAACCCCAAATCTGTGATAAAAATTAAAGGCCCCCCCACAGCCCCTCCCAATGCTGCTGGTACCCCACACTCCCTCCCCCCACAGTCTCAACAGCCCTCCTGATGCCCCTCACACCAGTCCCCCAGACCCACAGATATGCAGACACAGACACTGACACCCACCCCAGCAGATAAGTGTGTGGGTGGGGAAGGGAAGGTTCTGGGGAGTAGGTCAAGAAGGGGGGAATGTGCTTCTGTGCCCACTCCCACTCCCAGGGCCAGGGGATGAGGACAGGGGTGCCACTCTGTGGGCCACACGCATGCTGGGCAGCCTGGCAGGAGGTTCACACACAGAGGCTGCCACGGCAATTCTGCTACTGCACCCTGCGCTACCATCCCATGGCCACCTGCATGGCTTTGTGGGCGAGTGGCGCAGGGCACAGCAGCAGCAGTGCAGTGACAACCACCGTGTGTGGGTCACATATGTGATGCCCAGCCAAGGTGTGAAACGGGGGGCTTGCATGCAGCGGCATGCCCCGTGACCAGCTGCACAGCTCCACAGTGGTGCAGGGTGGTGGCGGCTGCATGCAGGGTGGCGGGGATTTGCAGGAAAGCACTGCCACCATGAAGCCATGCCCTTCGCCCCTGCGGCAGCAGCAGTGTGGTGATGGCTGGACAGCATGCAGCCATCCCCCCACCACCACCACCACCCCACACTGCGGAGCATGGCTCCATGGCAGCGTGGGAGGTTTTGTAGGCAGCGGCCATTCCTGCCATCACAGGCCTCCAGGTAAGCATCAGTGGCCGCTGTGTACTATCCCAAGCCCCCGTCCCCCACCCCTGGGCCCCCCTCCCCCACCAATGCTCGACAGCTCTTGCCCGCAAAGCCCCCCCCAGAGGTGCACCCCTGCCCTTACCCCCTGGCCCTGCTCCCAGCTGCAATGTGCTGCCTGGGCCCAGCAGCACCCCCTGCTCCCTCAGCCCCCAACCATCTTCCCCAGCCCTGCCCCACAGCCCCACTTACCTCCATGCTCCAGGGGCGAAGGGTAAGTCTGAGTCTGAGCCCAGCCTTGGCTGCCTCAAAGGCTCAGGCCCCTCCCTTCCTCCTCTCCCTCCCCCTCCAGCCAGGGCTGGCAGTTTCCTGCCCTTTTTGGAGCTCCTTTTTGGAGCTGTGCCAGCCTGCAAGAGCTCTTTGCAAAAGCTGAGAACCCATGGATTTCTCTGCTAAAAAGAGAAATCCGCGTTTTCTCTGATAAAAACAGGGAATTCATGGTTTTCTTCATTTTTCCATGGGAAATGTAAAACCCAGATCCCTGCTTATTAATTTGAAGAGGTGTTACGTTTTGTGGCTTGTGATGATAACTTGTTAGCACTTTTAATTATTTCATGGCTGATCAAAGCAAATTAGAAAGCAATGCATGATTGTTTTCACAGTCTTCTCAGTCTTGTCTCATTTTTGTGCTTTGAAAAAGTAGTAGTGTATTTTCCCCTGCAGTCAGACTTGTAGAGCCAAAAGGTTGGTAGGAAGAAACAGACCCTCATGAAGGGGGACCTGAGCATCACAAAAAAGAAACCAGTCTTGCAGATTGTAGTAAGACTTACAAATCCTACCACGTTGACCAGACTGATCTTTTACATAGCAATAGGGATGTGTTGTAACCACAGCCATTAATCTTTCTCCCAGGATGTAATAGTTACTGATTTAATTCTACTAGAGACTGTCATTCGTTTTAGGCAGACATTGACCCACTAACTAATTTTTGGGTTTCTCTATATAACTGTGCATGTTAGAAATGTCATCTTCTTAAATGAAAGCTGAGATTATTTTGTTGATACCATCCATGTATCTTCAAACCCTGTTATGTCTTTCCCTCAGAATGGCCCTGTTCACTGTGGCTAGGGACAGACATTACACATAAACTGGTTTAAGTGATCAGAAACTGGTTTAAACGTGTAACAGAACAGATGTTCAGTGCACATAAACCAGTTTGAAAATGGCTGAAACTGGTTTGAGGTAAACCTGGTTAAATGTAGTATCAGATTTAACTGACTTGAGTCAAACCAATTTATACAGTGTCTGTCCCAGACCCCTTCCTGGTTTAAGTTAAACCAGAGTCCCCCAGCAACCCAAATGCTTTGCAACCTTGGGTGGGGCTCTGCTCTCTGCTCCAGCCCAGCAGGGCTAGCCCCACCCCTCTGCTTCCTGCTCAGAGCTCTGGCAGAAACTGCAGGTACAGTGGCATCTGCCTGGCTTCGTCCTGCTCCCCCCCCCACCCCCCCCCCCCCTCAACCCGGGGTTCTCCCCCCACTCCCTGCTCAAGCAGGGATTCTCCACTCCCCTCTGCCTTACACAGATGCCTCTCATCATTAGTTAGCATACCACATGCTGGCTACAGTCTGGGCTGTGGAAAATGGAACAAAGGCAGACAGGACAGTGTTGGCCTAGGTCTTTTTGGAGCTAATCAACAGGTAGCTGGTAATGTCCCTCCATTCCTTCCTTGGAAAAAGTTGTTTAAGAAAAGCTTGAACTAAGGAGAGAGGCTTTTATTTTGTTTGATGGGCTGATAAATGCTAACAGCTCCCTGTTTAACTCCCTGCTGTGTAACTAAATGTTCTGTTATCAACAGGGACCCTTCCCTAATCAGAGTGTCCTGCCGGGGTCTGGCCATGCCCCCGCCTCAGCTTAGCATGTGAAAGGGAAGGCAGGGCTGCTTTAGTGCCCACCCTCCAGCTTCTAGCCTGAGCTACTGCAGGCATGTACCTGCATTTCTGGGAGGTCTGTACACTTACAAACTGATTCAGCCTAGGCAGATTAGAATAAACTGCAAAGATTGAATCAATTCAGGCTCAGGCTTTTTTAATGTTTGTCCCTAGCCTATATGTATCTGGTCTAGTCTAGACTACAGTCCTCTGCCAGCAGAACTTTTGAGTGTATCTATACTCAGAGCTACTCTGAAGTGGCAGAACCCTTCTTTGTGCTGCTAGAGTTACATTGCTTCTCCTAAATGAAAGACATCTTCTGCAACTATCTGGTAGGCACAGAAGATCCATGTAGATGCTTCTATGCCTTCCTATAATTTTAGAGGTTTATTGTTGCGAATCAAACCTTCCCTTTCCAAGTTTTACTTTGCACACTGCCCATCTAGCATCTGCAGTGGACCCACAAGAAGTGGTTTCTCCTTTGACATCAACTTCTGCCATCCGTACCAGATAAGTGTAGACAAGGCCACTGAACCTCTCAAGAATTGTCATGATCACATGTACAGTCTGCTGAGGTTAAAGTTCCATTTTAATCATTCACATTACTTTTTAAAATCCTATTCACATCCTGAATGGAAGACATGCAAAATGAATCATCCTCATCATTGTTCTGCTCCATTCCCAACAACCCTCTAGCATGGGTGAATATGTTCTGTGTTAAGAACCAGGAGAATGTGAACTGTTCTTCAATATGTCTTTAATAGTGCTTTGCCCTCCATAACTCTTATTAATTAGCTTGGCCTCATAGTTTTCATAAACTATGGATGAAACCCAGATCTCTTACATAGTAAATTAAGTCTCCGCTACTCACTCATGCAGTCTCCCAGAGAGGATTTGCCAAGCATTAGCTCTTGACTGGACTTCTTCTAAAAGAGGTTATTCTTCCATAGGTAATGCTGGTGAACTGCTTTTTCAGTGCATTATTTAGCTTCTATTAGTATATGCGCATAGCTTTATGCCACTGTCAGCATAATGTAATTTGTCCTGTAGCTCAAGTGGTAAAAGTCTGTGCAGCAACACTGAAGTTTTGGACATTAAATTCCACTGCTGATGCATGATCGGAGAGTTTGCTATGGTTAAAATGTCATTTTAATTTGCCATTTTTCATTATGAAAGAATTTACATGTAGAGGCTTCATTTAAAAGAAAGTTGTCTGGGTTGCCAAGCATTTAAAAGTTAGGGAATTCTAGATTTGAAGTCACCTGTACTTTAATTAGGTTCAGTTATTGTCAAATATAATGGTGTAGTCTTCAGTTAAGTGAGAACTGGATTTCTTGTCCATGGGGCTCCAACCTTGCTCAGAGCTTGCGACAGTGGTAAAAGAGTGAGGCAACTATTTCATAGTTCACTGTATCCCTTTATTTTTCCTTGTGTGACCCCAGGTTTTTTCTACTTCTGCATCATTTATTATCACAAAACTTTGTTTTTTCAGTCATGTGGTAATATATATTGTTTTTAATAATCGGTAAATGTATTTTTCTTAATAAAGCCAACTTTAAACAGTTCAGTTGAATCAAACAGCAGTATATTTGATGAAAAACTTCAAATTTTTATTGAACATATTATGGCAAAGGGCTTTATATTGAGGAACTGTCATAAAAATCAATCCCCCCAAAAAACCCAAAACAATATAGTAATATCTTCAAGCTAACATGCAGTCCCAGGTAAGTTTTAAAGTGGTTTCTACCAGAATCTTACTGAGTACTTATATTCTGTTGTACTTTTTTTCAGATAATCATTCAAAGCCAATGGAAATTGATGGGGATATTGAAATTCCTCCTAACAAAGCAACAGTCCTTCGGGGCCATGAGTCAGAGGTGTTCATCTGTGCCTGGAACCCTGTCAGTGACCTACTAGCATCCGGGTAAGTCAGTTACTGAAAATATTTTCCCTGGGAATAAAATATCATCTGCTGTAATTGGGAGCTATTTAAAGAAGCAAGAATATAAAGGAGACTGTGCAATTTTGATAAGTCATGTCTCTCTGAGGGTAATGGTATCAGTGTGCTATTTGAAAGAATTGTGAGGTGATGCACTGCCTCAAGTCCATGCACAGTTAGCAGATGCTAGGTCTGAAGACACTATTGTCCTGAATATATATGTCATACTTTATTGATTTATATTTTTAAATATCCTTGGAAAATCCTCAGTGTGCTAGGAGCTCATCTACATGACTCTCACTCTTGTTAGGCAAGGCTGAGCACTCCCATTTCTCCCATTTCTTAGCCTGCCTCTTCAGACTAACAGTTTTCTATTAGATTGATTAACAATACTTAGGTAAGATCTTAGTTCTCACAAGGACCAACCCAGATCAGTGGTATTAGGAACATAGAACAGATATCTGGAAGTGAGACCTCCTAGTCATTAAGTCCAGTCCTCTAGTATCTCAGACAGTCAGGTCATAGAATTACTTCACTCGGATCATTCTCTTCCTTAGGGAAGACATAAGACAGAGGTGGGATGGAAAACTGATACCTATCCTAAAATATTTTTAAAAAATAGAATCAGCAACCTCCTCTCCCTCTGCACGAAGAGACAAGGGAATCCCTAACCTGCAGGAAACAGAATTGCAAAGGAATCATACCTCTTCCCTTTTGGAAATGGAGGCAATAAAAAACCTGACCTAAAGAAGCAAGAATGAAAACTATGAACTCCAGAATTAATAGCGCTTCAAGAATATAAATGTGAGGCTCAAACAAACAGAGCAAAGTCTGTGTGACAGTGCAGATAGAAAACAGTCATCAGTAACTGCTGACAGCAAACAGACGTTTTGGGAAAATGGTGTCTTTTATGAAAAGTTATGTGACTGGTAGAATAGATCTAGGGAGAAGAACATCTATGATATGAGATTTTTTTTGTGAATTCTAGAAGGCATTAAGTCTGAGGAATTCACAGAAACCTTCTGAATACCTTTTTTTTTTTTTTTAAAGAGAACTTAACTACAGCATTTCCTTCTGATAATCTGAATAGAATATGGGATTAATTTATCCCATAACATCTTTGTATTATATTGGTTTCTAAATTGACAGAGATACAAACTACATGTAGACTAGGCCCTAAAATGTAGATTGTATTAATTATTTGGATTGTATTAAGTATTGTAAACTCTTTGGGACAGGAATTGTCTTTTCTAGACTTTTGCACAGCACCTAGTACTGTAGGGCTTTGATCTACGATTGGGGCCCACAGGTACTACCACAAAACCAGTAACAAAGTATCATCCTACTAATTACAGCAATAAAATGGACCTATATCATGCATTCACAGTATTCTCACTTAGCCTGCTTCCTCAGCCTACCAGTCTTTTGTAAGGTTGATTAACAATGGCTGCATCTACGTGAGACACTGACTGCACAGTCATTAGTGCACAGTCATTTAGTACTTGTATAAAGCAAGTACTAAATGACTGTGCAGTAACTAGAGTTACTGCACAGTAGCATCTCCAAACAGGTTTTTTTGTGATGCTGACTGTGACTACTGTGCAGTAGCATTGAATCATACTTTCTTCCACGTAACTCTACTGTACAGTAGTCACAGGCTACTGTGCAGTCAGCATCTTATGTAGATGCTGTGAGATCTTAGCTTGCACAAAGACCAACCCAGATCAGTGTTATTAGAAACATAGGGCAGTAATCTGGAAGTGACCTCCTAGTCATTCAGTCCAACCCCATGGTATCTCAGACAGTTAGATCATAGAATTACTTATCTTGGATCATTCTCTTCCTGACACAGTGTAGAGATGCAGAAAATGAAACTAGCTTCCAAGTTATATGTTTGATTCCTATTAAGGAACCATAGTGTGCACCAAGTCTTCCTGGTAAGACTGAATGAATATTTTCCAGAAACAGACATTTTTTTTAAATTTGCATTCATAAGGCCAAAACAGCAGTAAAATTCCAGAATGCCACTCTCTTTATAACTACCCACTGCATAAATCTTCCTGCTCTGGAAAACTGCATAATATTAAGTTAAACTGTGACCCAAGAGTATATAATTGAAGAGAAGACATTAAGGATTCAGGAAAAATTAAGAATTCAAATTAACCTCAAAGCCTTAAAATAATTCCTCCTTAATCTGTGAGAGGGATAGAGGGGAGGAATTTCTACCCATTTAGAGCAGCAAGGTTCTGGAACAGCTTTTTACAAAATGAGACAAAAAAAACCTGTTTTTTTATTTTATTGATTTTTTTAAAAATATATCATTTAAAGATAAAAATATATAGCAACTATAGATGTAAAACTAAACTATGTCACAAATAGTAAGCAATAAAAGAAAAAAAGGTGGAGGGAGGGAAGAGGGAGAGAGAGAGAGAGAGAGAGAATAAAAAAATAGAAGCATGAAATAAACAACAATCTATCTACTAAAATAGTTCAAGAATTCTTTCCAAATTGCACCAAACTTTTCAAAGCAGTTATGCTTGCTAAACATAACTCTCCCCATAAATGACAGCTGCACCATCTCATTGTTCCAGATTTCAACCTTTCCAATGCAACAGTATAATCCAGCACGTTTCTAATAAGACCTGCTGTCAAAGTGCAATCTGGGAAGGATTCAGTTTGAATTCCTCGGGGATATACCCAGGAACATACACATTTTCCAAAGGTATCAGTGTTCTATTAAAATCCATGGTACTCTGATTATAATTTCTTTCAATAGGTTATAATTTCTTTTCAAAAGGAATAGATAATGGGGCATGACCAAAAACTTTGACTGAACATTGCCTGAAATATATTACATATCCAACATGTATCTACCCTCATGCCCCAGCTAGCTGGGGCAGCATCTACACATGAGCTGCTGAGCAGTTTTTTACTCCGCAACAGCATAGTATTTGTATTTACAAGTACTATCCTGCTGCGGAGTAAATTAGTTTACTCCAGCCTAATAGGGGTGCATGTGTAAATGCAAGATGTTTGTGGCACAGCTAATTAGTCTACTGCATAGTAAATGTCTTGTGTAGATGTGCCCACTATCTCCTACCTTAATGCCCTGGTATCAGCCTTATTCCATATAGCTATAGTCAGTGGTTCCAATGTTGAATCAAATAAAAAGGGGGGATAATGGGCAACCTTGCCATGACCCGCTTTGCAAGGGAAATGGATCAGATAACTTACTATTGGTCACAGCTGTTGAAGTGAGATTTGTATGCACCATCTTTGTAATACACAAAGAAGTACTTCAGCAAACACAAAAGTCTGCATCTAGTGCTAAAATAGCCAGAGGGACATTGGAATTTTGCACTACTACTACTGTATCAATAACTTGATGTACATGACCTAAAACATGTCTTTTTGATAAAGCCTAATTGAGTTTTGCGCATTAACTTCAGAAGCACCTGTTCAAATCTAAGAGATAAAGTTTTGGCTAGGATTTTGGTATCTAAATTCATTAAAGAAATTGGTCTAGAGTTAGTACAGTTAATGGAATCCTTGCCTCGTTTAGGAATTACAGAAATAATAGCTTTACATAATATTTCTTTAATTTTTTATAAAACTCCACAGAAATCCATTACTGTCCAGAGATTTACTGTTGTTCATGCATTTATGGCCTGGCCAAAGTTATTTTATCTAATGATAAAGGAGCCTCAAAAATTTCCTTTTCCTTATATGAAATTTGTTGTATGGGTATAAAGTCGAGGAACCTATTTTCTCACTAGTAACATCCAGATTTTCAGTGTACAAATTAGAATAAAATTGACTAAACTGTTGGTTGATTTCATTGGGTCATATGAATATTCCCAAGAGGGTCTTTTATAGATGACATTTTATTGTGGGTGGATGTATGCTTTAGTCTATATGCTACTAACTTTCCTGTACATTATCCTAATTCCTGGTAAACTTGATGTAATCAAAATAAAAAGCATAATCTGTCTTCTGGGACAGTAATTTATTCAAATCATATCTCATATTGGTAATAATGCATACTTTATCAAGCAAAGGGTTTGTGACATAATTCTCATCTGAAGCCTTAATTTTTCTTATTAAAATATCTATTTCTATACCCTTTTTTCTTTTTTTGCCAAAGCATATGCTATTATATGTTCTTGTAAAAAGAAGGCCTTAGTAGTTTCTCATAATACTGTAACAGAGTAAGGAGTATGTTGATTAAGCTCCATAAAATTTTTCAGCTCCTCTAAAACGAAAGCTTCAAATATATAATCATTCAACAAGGAGGTGCTGAGTCACCAGTAATTATTAGGGCTGTATGAAGCTTCAGTAGCCGATTTGATTTGAAGGAGATCTGACCCGATTCGGGAGCCAAATCTCCAAATCAAATTGGAAGACCCATTAATCTCTCCTAATCAAAACATAAGCCTCCGAATCGATTCAGAGATTCAGCCATAGACTGTATAGGCAGGCACTAGGCAATACTGGTGGGAGCAGCTGTGGAAGCAGCCTTACAAGCGGAGGGAGCAGATGGACGAGCTGGGGCTGCTAGTGCAAGCCTGGGCTCATCCATCTGGTCCCACCAGCACTGCCTGCCTGTATAATCTATAGCTGAATATGATTTGGTGCCAAATAGCTTTGGATTCAGCCAAATCAAATCAGTACAGTGATTCGAATCACCGAATCAAATTATTGTCCCTCCGAATTGCCGAATCTGAAGCAAATACTTTCTGTTTTGCACAGACCTAGTAATTATATACAGCCAGTCTATCTGTGAGGAAAGGTTGAAGCTCCACCTCAGTGTTATCTGCAACAGCTATAGAGGCAATAGAGGTATTAACTACAGTCAGTTCTGCTTTGAGAAACTAAACAGTAGTCACTTCTAAAATATACTGACTGAGGTGTTGGAAAAAGAACCTTATAATCACTTATTGTTGGATTCACTATTCACCAAATATCTATTAAACCATGGTCTGACA